TCTGACCCCTTGACGGCGTCTGTTGCTCTGCCATAGCTCTGGGAAGTCTGGGCTGTTTGATGTGCCCCAGGGAGACCATGGTGAGAAGAGAGCCTCAAGTTTCAGGCCCTTTGCCCACGTGTCCTCCACCATTCAGTGACATTTAGCAAACTGATATCCAACTGTCTCTACTGACCTACTTAGTTTCAGTTGTCAGTTTGACACAGCGTGGAGATCAGATTGGCCTGTGGGTATGTCCAGGGGAAACTGTCTCTGTAGCAGTTCATTAAGGAGAGCCCAGCACACTGTGGGTGCTCCTGAACTATACATGAAAGCCAGCCAGCAACAAACTGTTCCTCCTTCAAGATCTCTCTTGGAGTTCTTGCCCAAGCAAACAGGAGCCCTACTGCCTAGACATCCTTGATGAAAACCCTTTACCTGCAAGTTTCCATTTCCAGCCGCATACTGTTCTGCTTGCATGTCTGCCTGCAGGTCAGAAGAGGGCGCCAGATCTCATTACAGGTGGTTGTGAGCCACCATGTGGTCACTGGGAATTGAACTCAGGGCCTCTGAAGAGTGGCCTGTGCTCTTAACCTCTGAGCCGTCTCTCCAGCCCTGACACTAGGAAACATTGACATACACTTTGTCTCTATGAATTTGCCTATCACTTCTTCTCCCAAGAGATGTATACAAATGAGGTGGACATAGAAAATATATAGCTATAATCTCGGCATCAGGAACAAAAGCAGTATGAGATCAAACTGAAGATCAGCCTGAACTACATGGCATGACCTTGTCTTTAAAACAAAACAAAGAAAATGTACAAATGGCCAGCAGTCACATGAAGAGAAACACAGCATTATTAGTCATTACAGAAATGCAAATCAAGCTCAATTAGATGCCACTTCACACTTTTTGGATAGCACATACTTTTTTTCTTTCCAAAAGGGAAAAGTGTTAACAAGGACACCAAAACCTGGATCCACTACAGACTGTAGAATGTAAAAATGTAGCTGGTGTTTCTTCAAAAAGTTAAAAATAGAATGACCAGATGACCCAGCAACTTCAATCCTGGGTATATATGCACAAGAATCAAAACAACTATTAAAAAAGAAGTTAGGGCTGGAGCGATGGCTCAGAGGTTAAGAGCACTGACTGCTCTTCCAGAGTTCCTGAGTTCAATTCCCAGCAACCACATGGTGGCTCACAACCATCCGTAATGAGATCTGGTGCCCTCTTCTGAAAAAAAAAATGTTAAATATCCACAGCAGGGTTACTAATGACAGTCAACAGAGAGCAAGGCATGGTGACATGCACCTACACAGCCAGCACTTGGGGGGTCTGAGGCAGCAGGATCAGGAGTTTAAGATAGGTTGTTATAACAATAAAGACCCTATCTCAGAGAAGAAGAAAACAAAACACGACAAACTAACCCCAATATCAAAATCATTCAAATGTCTATTAGCTGATCAATGGCTGAAAACTGTGATCCCACCATATAGTACAATACTATTCAGTCATAAAACTGTGATATGTGCTTCAACACAGTTGAACCTTGAAAACACTATGGCAAGTGAAAGAAGCTACACAGAAGGCTAGCATATTATTACTCTATTACACTAGTTAGTATTTTGGTGATACTGGGAATCACAACCATCTATAATGATATCTGGTGCCCTCTTCTGGCATGCAGGCAGAACACTATACATAATGAATAAATAGATCTTTAAAAAAATATTTAAGGGGTGGAGAGATGGCTCAGTAGTTAAGAGCACTAACTGCTCTTCCAGAACACCAGGGTTCAATTCCCAGCAAGCACATGGAGTTCACAACTGTCTATACTTCCAGTTCCAGGGGATCTGACACTCACACATACATGCAGACAAAACACCAATGCTCATAAATTTAAAAAAAATAATAAATCCTTAAAAGCTTTTTTCACCGGGTGGCGCACGCCTTTAATCCCAGCACTCTTAGGCAGAGGCAGGCGGATCTTTGTCAGTTCGAGGCCAGCCTGGTCTACAGAGCAAGTTCTAGGACAGCCTCCAAAACAATACAGAGAAAACCTGTCTTGAAAAACCAAAAAAAAAAAAAAAAAAAAAAAAGAGAGAGAGAGAGAGAGAGAGAGAGAGAGAGAGAGACCAGCCTGGTCTACAAGAGCTAGTTCCAGGACAGCCTCCAAAGCCACAAAGAAACCCTGCCTTGAAAATGCTCCCCCCCAAAAAGCCCTTTTTATTCATTTATTTCATGTGTGTGCATGTCTGTATGTGTACCATGTGCATGTGGAGACAAGGGCATTGGATCTCCCGAAACTAGAGTTACAGGCAGCCGTGAGACACCTGACGTGGGTTGACCCTGGGTCATCTGAGAAAGCAGTGAGTGCTCCCAACCTCTGAACCATCCCTCCAGCCCAAATAAACAGCTATTTTTTGTTGTTGTTTTCTCAAGGCAGGGTTTCTCTGTTTAGCCCTATTATGCTGGAACTCACCCTGTAGACCAGGCTGGCCTTTAATTCACAGAGATCCACCTGCTCTGCCTCCCGAGTGCTGGGATCAAAGGCGTGCGCCAACACTGCCCGACTTAGAGATGCTTTTTTATTCAACTCATCTGTGTTATTTTTTTTTAGAGGCAGAGTTTCTCTGTATTGTTTTGGAGCCTGTCCTGGAACTCACTCTGTAGACCAGGCTTGGTCTCCAACTCACAGAGATCCACCTGCCTCTGCCTCCCGAGTGCTGGGATTAAAGGCGTGTGCCACCACCGCCAGGCTGTTATTTTTATTTTTAAAGAGTTGTTTAGCCAGATGGTGGTGCCTGTAATCGCAGCACTCGGGAGGCAGAAGCCAAGTGGATCTCTGTGAGTTTGAGGCCAGCCTGGTCTGCAGTGTGAGTTCCAGGACAGCTAGGGCTTGAAAAAACAAACAAACAAACACAACAACAAAAGCATCTCTAGCAACAGAAAGCAGACCACTAGTGTCCTGGGATTGGGCTGAGGTAGACTGAAGCAGACTGAGAAAGGACACAGAACCTTCTGGCTGATAGACGCTTCACTTCCTCATTCGCTAGGAGTCACACTAGTGGCATCGAGCTTTCATGTGCTACAAGGTGCTGCTGAGGCTTCTGGGGTGGAAAAGACATCAACAGTATCCCTGTAGGCGTTTTTCATGCTACAACATCAACCTGCTAGGAGGCTGAAGAGCATGCGCTGCTCTTGCAGGAGACCTGAGTTCAGTTCTCAGCACCCACATCTGACAGTGCACATCCTCCTGAAACTTCAGCTCCTATGCACCTGGGTCTCACAACTCCGGCCTCTGCTGGCACCTGCTCTCTCTCTCTCTCTCTCTCTCTCTCTCTCTCTCTCTCTCTCTCTCTCTCTCTCTCTCACACACACACACACACACACACTCTCTCTCTCACACACACACACAACTTAAAAAATATTTTTAAAAAAGCACTCAGGAGGCAGAAGCAGGTGGATCTCTGTGAGTTTGAGGCAGCCTGGTTTACATAGCAGGCTCAAGTCCAGCCAGGGCCACATAATGAGACCCTGACTGGGGGAGGGGGGGAGGGAAAAGAAAACGAATGGTCTCACTGGCACAATCGTGGCATGAAGGCTATGGGGTAACCAGTTACTTTTGGGTTGGATTTAAGCAGTGCTCCACAGGACACAATTCATACCTATGAGTGTGAACTAGTTAAAAGCCCCATGGTACAAGAGGTCCCAGGCTCTCGAGGGACCCTGCTACTGTTGCCCGACTGCCTTCTAAATATCTACGTTAATATCTATAAATTAGCATTGCTCTCGATTTTGGCCGGATGACCTGCTCTCTGCAGTGGCCAGCAGCTGATGCAGACTCATAACTAGTCAATGCACAGAGAAGAAGTGACTGTCGAATGCCCAGCCCTGCACGGCCCTGCACGGGACATCTGTATCAACACCACCCAGCAAGGGCCAGGAAGCATTGCAGCAGAGGAGGCAGAAAGAATGCCAGAACGAGGGGATGGGAATGAAGCTGTTTGGGGGCTGACATCAGCCTCGAACTCACTGCAGATTACCTGCCTGAGATCAATCAGATCAGTTAACTCTCCACCAGGTGGCATTAATTGAACTCAGCGGGTTACTAACACAAAAAGGAGAGGATATAAGGGGGAGGGAGGTGTGTTGGGGATACCCGGGAGGAGGAAGATACATTAGAGGGGGTGGAAATGATCAGGATGCATTACTTGCATGTATGGAATTGTCAAAGAAAAAAAATACTCAAGAAAAAAAAAGAAGAAAAAAAGAAAGTCAGGCATGATGCGTGTGTGCCTATGAGCCCTGCACCTGGGAGGATGAGGCAGGAGGTCACTGGTTTGAAACCAGCATCAGCTATGTAAGACTATATGAGTCCCAGGTCAGCCTACGGCTATAATTAAAAAACAAAAAAAAGTAGTCGGGCATTGGTAGCGCACGCAGGCGGATCTCTGTGAGTTCGAGGCCAGCCTGGTGTACAGAGCGAGTTCCAGGACAGCCTCCAAAGCTACACAGAGAAATCCTGTCTCGAAAAACCAAACCAAACCAAAACCAACCAACCAAACAAACCAAAACAACTGGCCAGCTGCCTTCATGAACACCAATGCCACCAGACACAGAGAAAGAGGAATCCTCCCGATTTCAGGGACTCAGCCCACAGATAGGGCGGCGGGATGCTACACCCGATAGATATCCTGGGCCAAGTGATCAAGGCTCTGCTGCATCGACCGGGCACGCAAGTCCTTCCCAGCCTCCGCTCCCTCCTCCCACGCAGGAAAAGGACGGTCGTGTCACGCCGCTCAGAAAATGGGCTCCAGAAGAAACTTTCGGTGGACGGCCCCGGAGCCGGCCGCGCAGCCCCCGTGCTCGGGAGCTGACCAGGCGGGTCGCGGGCCGCGGGGGCTCGCACCGCGGGGGCTCGGGGAGGTGGGGGGGGGCGACCACCGAGCCTCGCGGGCCCCGCCCCCGGCCGCTGACGTCACCACATTCCCGCCGCGGCTCCTCCCGCCGCCGCTGCAGCCGCAGTGACAGGCGAGCCGGGCGGGTGACGGGAAGTGCGGGCCGCGGGCGCGGGCGGGAGGTGACAGCAGCCACGCGGGGAAGATGGCTGAGGACTTCGGCTTCTTCTCGTCGTCGGAGAGCGGGGCCCCCGAGGCCGCCGAGGAGGACCCGGCGGCCGCCTTTCTGGCCCAGCAGGAGAGCGAGATTGCTGGCATCGAGAATGACCCGGGTTTCGGGGCACCTGCCGGCAGCCAGGTGGCCTCTGCGCAGCTGGGACTCGCGAGCGGGGGTGAGTCAGCGCGGCGGCCTGCAGCCGGGGGCTGCGGCCAGCATCGGGGGCAGGAGGCCCAGGTTCGGTCACACCCGGCCTGGGTCCCCGCTGTAGTCTGGAGCCCGGCTGTCTGGGCTGACCAGGGGCACCCCGGGGGCTGTGTGTGTCTGTGGGGCCTGGGAAAGCAGGGAGGAGCCGGGAAATGAGCTGGAGTCCGGGCTGAGGCTGGATCCGCTGACTCTGGGGACAGGAATTTATTTCGTCGTGACATTTTATCCCCAGGCCAGCTCCCCCACTGTGTGGCTCTGGAATCCTCCCCCTGCTCAGTTCTGAGAGTCATTCTCTGTCCCAGTGTCCTAGCTAAGTGGTACAGGTGTGGACGAAGGCAGTCCTCCTGACCCAGGGCTTAGCTTTCATTCTCTGGGCGGCAGGGGGCACTCCAGGAGCTACAGCTCTTCCTTGGGGACCACCTGCCGTCCTGCAGCGCTGGAGGAGACATGTTAATTACATTTAGTAATTTCACACACACACACACACACACACACACACACACACACACACACACACACACACACACACACGCAGTTACTGAATCCATTTCAGAACTGGCCACAGGAAGCCTCAAAAGGTACGCTAGTAAAACAACTAGGAAGTATCGATCAGGGATTGAACCCCTTCTGTCCCATTCTGAGTCCTGCGTATCCTGACCACACAGTCTTCTGTGTGTCTGGCTATAAGTCTGGACAGGGACACCAAGGAAGTCCTAACCCTTCCTGTTTGTAATCGTATTTGGTGGATTTACCAAGGTGATCCAGGACATTTGTGGATGGCTTCAGACATAAGGGCTCAGGACCTGTTTCCTACAACCTGTTTATCATTTATACTACTGCCTCAAGAAACAATTTGCTATATTTAGTAAAAAAAAAATGGGCCTTCCTGGGTACACGCCTAATAGACCTTGTTTCTTATTTTTTTTGTTGTTGTAATTTTAGGGAGGTTCAGTGGGCTTCTTGCAAACAAATATTACATGTATATGTTCACAAGGCTCTTTAACAGTCAGATTTCTTTCACTCAACATTTTGCTGTGTTGCCATCCCCACTGGGGACACAGAATGAAGGAACCAGATCTATGGCTGAGGGGTTGAATCAACTCTGCCAGGAGAAATGTAGTAACCCTTTTGTGACACACAAGAAACTGGAGTTTGAGGGTTATCATGATAGCTCAGTTGGTAAAGGGGTCCGATGACACCTGAGTTTGGAACCCACATGTAAGAAAGAACTCACTGTCATACTTTGTCTTCAGTTCTCACATACATGTGTGCACCACAAACACACACACACACAGAAGTAAATAAAGTGTCGGTAATAATAATTAAAGGAAGAAGAGACTGGGGTTTGAGTGTCTTGCCTAAGGTCACACAGCCATGAGTTGTAGCTCTGGAAACTTGATTTCAGGCCTCCTAGCTCCGTACTGTGTTATTCCAAAGACCAACTGTGTAGATCTTCCTAGATGACTGAATGTGGCAAGGAGAAGCAGGGGCCTGACGAAGCCAGCCATACAGGCTCTGTTCCTCAGCATGGGCCCTTGTGTTCCCAGGGAACCTGCCCAGGTTCCTATGGAACTTACTTGACCCATTAGTTACCCCTTGAGAACAGACTCTCCTACTCCCCTTTTCAGGAGGTCCTGGGTCTTTAGAAACTCAGGCTGAGGATAGCCATAGGGCCTAGGACTTAGCAAGCTGTGGTCTTTTCAGGGACTTACAACTGGACAGGGAGGGCACTGACTGACCCTAGACTTGATATGAGATGACAGGGAGAGAGACAGTGAGTGATAATCCTTGGGGAAGCTGCTAGAGACACAGCCCTCGGAGAGTCTTCCAGACTCCTACATGTGATATTGCAGGTGCCCAGCTGCCCTCCTGAGTGGCAGTTTGGGGAACAAGGAGGTACTTCAGGAGCGGAGCTCAGTGGGTATGGAGGCACAAACAGAATGAACCCGATACTCTTAAGCCTGGGCAGCACTAGGCAGCCATCCTTTTCTGAGCAGCAGGGAGTAGCAGGAGCCTAGGTGGTCTGAGGGAAATGGCCTGGGTCTTCTGGGAGCTGGGAAGAAGCAGGCTCCAACAGCAGCCACCAATGCAACCCGAGTTACCTCCCCTTAGACAATGGGGTCTTCTGACTAACGGTGGCTCTCAGGAGGCCCTGGGGAAAGCCCAGTATGGTATAGGCCTGAGCCCGGAGCCCCACTGAGCCTGCTCTGGGAACAGATCTGCTGCAGGCTTGGGGCATGGACACTTTGTTTCCATTCATCAGCCTTGGGTAGGGCCCAAATGGGCTACACTTTCACACCCAGTGTTCCGGGCTCGAAGCCTGATTGACTTATGGGCCAGCTCTGTGTAATCCTGTTGCCCCTGCTGGGCCTCAGTAAGCTCACAGGAATGTTCTGGATTCCCAAACGGGTCAGGCACCCGAGGAGGCCCTGCACGGAACAGCTTATCCTTAGGGCTTGTGTTTGCCTTGCTGTATTTGTTCTGTGGGTGCTGTTGTGGACTCAGGATCATAAATGTGTAAGAGCCAGAGAACACTGTGGAACAGACACTGGTGATTCTGTGAGTGGGTGTGTATATGGCCCCCAGGAGGCTGACCAGGCTCCATCTCTCTGGAGGTTGAGGTGGGCACCAGGAAACTTGTGTGGCCTTGCCAGGAGAGGTAGTGAGACTCTCCGAAGGCTGTTCCCACAGGCACAGCATCAGGGATGGACCCTGGCAAGGTGAGGCTAGAGAGGGAAGCTGCCCAGGAGCACCTCTGAAGTGTGCTGCCACTCATACCCCGCTGGGCTCACCCTCATTTAGAGAGCTGGCTTCCTGTGCAGTAGAAACCCTATCTGAGTGGGTGGGGTAAGAGCTGTCACAGCACACAAGAACAATCCCTGCTTGACTCTGTGAATAAGTCATGATTTATATCAGTGGCAGATGACTGACATGGGGGTGTGTCCCCCCTTGGTCCTCTCGGGCCCAGGCCAGATGTACTGTGTTGTTCTGCAGCCCTGTCTAGCTTGTACAGGGCTAACTGTCCTTCTGTGGTGACTGCATAAGGCCTGCTACGGCTCACAGCAAGGAGGCATGACAGCTCCAGAGAAGCCTTGCCCATTACAGTGACCCCCAAGGAGCAATTCAGCTCTTATTTGGCCAGCCGTCTCTGTTCACCCCTTCTATGCAGGGCCCCTTAGCTGGGGAAAAACCCGCTTGCAGAGCCTGGTAAGAAGTACATGGCCCTATGTATGCCAAGTCATTGCCTGGGAGTGGAGCCTCCTATGCAGTACTCTGGAGTACCCCAGAGATGAGACCTTCTTTTAGCGCCACAGGGGAAGCAGAGGAAGCAGTCTAAGGCCCCCTGTAGGAGGTGACTTGCACACCATTAAAAAAACAAAAAAGAGCAGGACAGTGGTGGCGCACGCCTTTAATCCCAACACTTGGGAGGCAGAGGCAGCTGGATCTCTGAGTTTGAGGCCAACAGAGCAAGTTCCAGGACAGGCTCCAAAGCTACATGGAGAAAACCTGTCTCAAAAAAACAAAAACAAAAACAGCAAAACAAACAAAAATCCAAAACAAAACAGAACAACAACAAAAGAATTCACTTGTTTATTCAGCATCTAGTGAGACCTTGTACAAATGCCCAGGTCCCATGCATAAGCATGGCTTTGAAGAGGGCAGCCATGGGGTTTGCCACCGGCAGGACAGACCAACCACAGCAGGTGTGTGGGCGTGAGACGGTGAAGGGGCAGGCTGGGCTGGCAGAGGAGTGAGGGAAGAAAACTTTGAGGGTCCCTGTTGCAGCAGGAGCTACAGGTAACGTGTGACTCGACGTTAGACAAGGGGATTGGGAGGAGTCATGGAAGGAGAAACGAAAGCCTGGGAGGGGCACAGACAGGAAACTAGGCCAAGTGTTGCCCAGGGGGAGCCGTGAGTCCTGCTCTCCCAGGCAGAGCGGTTGCTCAAGGTTCCACCAGGACATGCAGGGACACAGACCCCTCTCTTCCTCATCCCTGGTGGCCCCTCCCTAAGCTGCAGTACCCCTACCTACTTACCAGGTCCCAGCTGCACAGTTAACTTCCGGCAGGAAAGGGACAGTACACTGGCTAGGTGATCTTGAGCAGTGACTGTAGCCTTTCTGGGTTCCTACTCGAGAATGGGTCACTAAGTTTTCTCACGGGGCTATGGCAAATATTAAGTATGACAGTGGGGGCACAGGAAACAGTCAGGGCCGGGGCCTCAGCTGTTTATATACCCATATGTCTGTGGGGGAGGTGTCAGTATGCCTAGGGTGTATGTATGTACAGGCTGGCACCAGAGGCCACCGTAGGACCACCCTATGCCTGTCAGCTGGACTGTGAGTGACGCTGTCTCCTTGCTCTTTTCAGCTGGCTCTGAGGACATGGGGACTACAGTCAACGGAGATGTGTTTCAGGTAAGCAGAGGCGAGACTGACTGCCTTAGGCTCAGGGGCACCACTGTTTCCACTGGAGGTCATTTAGGGCTTACTGTTTGCTGTGTTGACTGTTTTCTTGTCGTGTTGGAAAGGGAACCACTGGAGACAGGGACTGAGGAGTTGCTCGGGTTGTCCTCAAGGGTATCTAGCTTCAGGAAGGATTGGCATGGGATGAAGGAAATTAGAGTTCTGTCCAAAACGGTACTTCTGGTGGAAGGCTGGCCTGACTGGCCATCTCCACACCATGAGTACTTTAACTGACTGGGAGATTAAAGTTGGAATTTCTCCTAAGTGGATAATTGGAAAAGGATACCCGGGTCTCTGCAGGATGACTTCTAGCCCAGACAAACTAGAAATAGCCTAAATGTCGAGAATCAGGGGCCTAAGTAGACTGGAAATAATCTCTTGCTACAAAGGGCTGTGAGAGCTTCCTGTCCTTATGGGCATACATGTTCTTGTTAAAGCAACTTACAGGGTGAACGATGTGCCATCACAGCATGTCACGTTCATATTTTTAGGGGTTTGCACAAAATATTTGGAAAAGGCATTCCAGTTGTTAACGATGGTAGCCCTGAGAGCGAGAGGCCAGGCTCCCTGTTTCCACCACAGTAGTGGGTGGATGAGGGTCGAGGGTGTTCTATAAAGATGGGCATGGAGCTCAGTGGAGAAGCTCCAAGTTAGATCCTCAGCACCACTAAAAGCCAACGCAACAAAACGAAAGCACACAGACCAAGAGAGGGCAGATGCTAAAGCACCCCAGGACCCCACATAGGTGTGTAGAGCCCCAGATGTCTAGGCAGGACCTAGCCTCCACTGTGTCAGTGTCGGGGCCTGCAGCTTCCTGATCTCCTGAGTCACACCCTGTGGAGGAGTTGCCCTTTTGGATCCTGGGAGAATAAACAATACTTTCTTATATAAGTGGGATGGGCTGGTCCTGACACAGGAAAACTGGCCTTGCTCCATTTCTGGAAAATGACTCAACGTCAGGGAGTTAGGAAAGTGTATCCCTAGGACTCCTCAGCTTCGTGCCCAGTTGGGTACAGCAGAGATAAGGATGAGTGTTATCCTTGTACTGTTAGAATGTTTGGCAGGCCAGTTCTGGGCTCCAAGAACACTCACGAGGATTTTAATGGCTCAAAGGGCCTCTGTTCTAAAGTAGACATGCAGGGGCAGCATGTGGGACCGTAAGGGTATCTAGAACATTCTGAGCAGCACGCTTTCACTTCAGTTGACAGAAGCTTGAGACTCACAGATATTGAAGAGACTTTATGAAGACACAGAGTGACACCAGCCATTGCTGGAGTTTTCCTCACTCACCCTCCCACTACCCACCATATCACTTTCCACTCGGGGACCTGAAGCGCACGGTCTCGGCAATGATTCTTATTCTCCGCTCTCAGGAGGGACGTTGCTTTGTGAATCACATCACGTCTGCGCTGCCCTCGAGTCCCCCTGGGCAAGGGAGGGTCATGGGAGGGAAGAGTCACTTGGTTTAGTAGCAGAGCTCCTTCCTGCTTGCATGGGCATACACTCTGGGCTGTGCTGCGCTCTGCTGCTGGGCCCAGAGGACTAACTTTAGGACGAGCACGGCAGTATTTGCCATGCGCTTTCGGGGGGAGGGGGGGCCGGAAGCCTTGGCCTGTGCAAACCCAGCACATCCAAGAGCCTTTGTACCTCAGTCTTCCCTGGTAGACTATGTGGGTGACCAGCTGCAAACCTCACCCCAGCACAGTCTGAGGGTAAGCCTACCAGCGCCTATTCCAGCCCCTCTGGCCCCATGGGGGACAGGGACAGGGACAGGGAGCCTTGCAGGACTCCTTTCCTTCCCACCCTCCAGTATCAGTCCCCTCCCCCCCCCCCTGCTTCTCCTCCTCGACTCTCCCTGAGCTACTTAGAGGAATCAACAGCTCAGCCCAGCTTACCCTGAGCTGCTCAATCCAAGGCGGATATGCCTCATCACCCTGGCTGTCCCTGGAGTTTTAGCATGTGCTTGCCCAGCAAGAAGCCCCTCAGAAGGGGGAAGGGGCAGATCATCTGGCCTGTCTGGCCTCTTGCTTTCTGCTCCCAGCCATAACCAGTCTCTTCGTCAAGGGAGCTTTGGAGGGCTTCAGAGTACTTCTCCAGCCACTAGTGTGGCCACTAAAGCCCTGAGCTGCTTCACCTTCTGGAAGTGACCCCATGTCTCAACTAGGAGCTCAAACGAACATGGGTGAGCCTCAGTTGGCCTCTGCTGTTTACTGCATGGACGGGAAAATAAACCCAAAGCAACCAGTGGAGAAGCCGGTGAAGTATTTCTCAGGCCCTGCCTGCCGGCAGCCCTGCTATGCTCACTGTCCGCTAGTGAAGGCCTTAGCCACGTGGTGACAGTGAGCCTCAGTGGTCATATTTTCTTTATGTGAGTGGGCCATGTGGTGGCTGATTCCATGGCTGTTGCTTTATATGAGCCTCACTAGGTTCCTTGAGTGAGACACTGTCACTCTCATGTCACAGGTTTGAAATCAAAGTTGCCCGGGGAAGGGATTTTTCTCAACAGTCACCACCCAGTGAGTGGCTGAACAGGCACTGTAGGCCAGGCCTCTGATACAATGTCCAGCGCCTCTCCTGGGCTCTCCCCGTCTTTATAATCAGCCATTTGTCCATTCACCTCTCAACTCACATTCTCTGTGGACCAGCCCCGTGCTGCGGCGGTGGATGAGAAGACAAAGCCAATGGAGTATCTGTCCCCAGAGTTCACTTCCAGTGGAGTACAGAAACCCAGGAAGAAGTCACGACAGCCTAGGAGCTAGGATTTGAGGGTAATGATGAGACAGGAGGCCATAAGTTCAAGGCTAGCTTGGGGCACATTTCGAGGGCCTTAAAAGAAAAAAATCTAACAGCTTGAGTGTTTTTGTTTCCAAAACCAACTGAAGGCGGTATAGGGCTTAGCCCACTTAATCCTCCCAGTCCTCTTATGCGGCCGCTCTTATTATCCCCGGTTCTGCTCAGGGAGATTTAATAGCTGTTGTAGTGACATAGCTTCAGTAACTTCAGTGGCTTTCAAGGCTGCCTAGGGGGAGGGAGCAGCACGTGGGAAGGAACAGAAGGGAAGACATTTGGCTCAGGGCTCTTCCACAGAGCCTGTGGACTCTGCTACATAGAGGGATGTGTCAGGAAAGCCCCAAGAGGCCACAGGTACAGGGACGATTGGTTGCTTAAAGAGAGTCGCACTAACTCCCCACCACAGCGCATCAGTGTCCTCTGGGGAGGCAGCCCCAGCTTGGGCAGACTTCATGTCCTGGCCTTGGCACACCAGCCTCCAGGGATGGGAGGTGCTGTACAGCACTGAGCCTCATGTACCTCAGTGCCAAGTAGAGCTGCTTCAAGGGCTGCCCAGGCTTCATACCCAGACCACAGACAGCAGTGGAAGCCTACAATTCATTTTCTGGCTTTTCCCAGCTGGGGGACCTTGAGTTAGTAACTCAACCTTTCTGAGCCTGGTTTCTCCTTTGTAAAATGGGGAGTCAAGGCCCTGGCCTGCTGTCCCCACAGGGTTATTGGGAAAAGTACTCTGTAAACAGGACAGCTCCTTATAAATTACTGACGTGTCCACTAAATGAGCCGAGGAGTGGCCTGGAGTAGTGGTGTGGTGTGTGTGTGTGTGTGTGTGTGTGTGTGTGTGTGTGTGTGTGTGCGCGCACACATGAGCACAGGCAGGGACCACAAGGGGACAAAGCCTCTGATCTTAAAAAGGTCACTTAGCAGCAGCCAGGCTGGGACCTGGTGTGTGGCTGGGTGGCGGAGTGTTCGTGTAGTATGCATATGCCCTGGATTCAGTCCCCAGCACAGGGAAATCAAGGAGACGAATGGCAGGACAGGGGTCATGGGACAGAAGCAGCAGCGTTCCTGCCAGCTGTTTTTGTGACAAGGATGTTCACACCCAGTTATTCAATTCGAACCTGGCTCTGTCACTTACTTGCCAACCGTGGCACTTTGGAACTAAAGTCCCCTTACCTATAAAATAAAGGCAATAAAACCTTCTAAGTGGAACTGTAAAGATCAAAGTCACCTGCTTGGTCGCAGGTGCCCTGGAATCCTAACTTTAGGTGAGGTTTCTGGAGATGATGAAGTAATGATACAAATGGGAGGAGATGTCTGCCCAGCGGAGCTTCTCCTGCCTTCTCACTCCTCTTCCTACATCTGAGTTTCCCAAAGGCACCTGCCCTGTAATGTCTTTCCCCTATGTGTCCATGTTCTCTGCCCCGAGACAAGAATGGCCATGCCATTTTTTGTCTGATATCTTACCTGTCCTGTACCACAGTGCACCATCTTTGAGGGACTCCCCATCTCAAGCTACCAGAAGACAGGTTATTTTGTTCATTCCTGTCCATAAGTACCTACACATATATGGATTTAATAAGTTATCTCTTCCTTCTACTCCTTCTCTTCCTTCTTCTTGTTCTTTTGGTTGAACTGGGGATTGAACTTGAACCCAGGGTCCTGTGGCTGTCAGGGATGTGCTCTGCTGTTGAGCTATGTCCCTAGACTCAATAAATCCTCCCCTTCCAGGCCCTCCTGCTCTGGATGATGTTATGAAGGCCGTCAGTCTCTGGATTTAGGGCGCATACTTTCTTTTCTTTTTCTTTGTTTTTGTTTTTGTTTTTATTTGAAACAAATAAAACAATCCCAGCTTCCTCTCCCTCCCCCTCCCATTTTTTTGATTTTTTTTTTTTAGACACGGTTTCTCTGTGTAGCTGGCCTCAAACTCACAGAAATCAATCTGCCTGTCTCTGCCTCCCGAGTGCAGGACTAAAGGAGTGTGCCACTCTGGGAGTTTCCTTCCTTTTTTCCTTCCTTCCTTTTCTTTTTACATGATTTATTTATTTTATGTGCATTGGTATTTTGCCTGTATGTATGTCTGTGTGAGGATGTCAAATCCCCCAGAGCAGTAGTTACAGGCAGCTGTGAGTGCAGGGACTCAACCTGGGTCCTCTGGAAAGGTA